ATATATATATATATATATATATATATTCATTCAACATCAAGACCATAGTGTTGCCTAAACATAAAATAAATTCTGTAAACATTCACATTTCAGTTGCTGTGAGGGGCTTATTTAATTATTGCTTTAATTATTCAATAAACATTTAACTTTTCCAGTTCATGTGAATAAGCCATGCACATTTCAGTAAAACTACTTATGACAGACTTCTTCAGATTTATTTATTTTTTTAACTTTAGCAATGGCACTGCAAAAGATCTGTAGTAATTTAACTTTGCATATCCTCACGTTTCAGAGTACTCATTCTTCTGACACACCATCATATAGTTGCAAACCTATATGCTTTTTTTCTTCTGCAGATCACAAAAGACAACATTTAAGAATGTTGTATCCCAAACAATATTGAAATGCACTGACTGCCCTTTTTAAACTTCACTATGCTCCACACAATTAAATAAATGCATAAAGGATTCTAGCAACGCAAGTAGACAAGAAATTAATTTTATGGGAGACCTAACCAGTCCGAGGTCAGTGGGTAAAAACAACAACAAAAAAAACAGACAGAAATCCAAAAATCTCAATTTTATTGAGCTGAGAGCAAACACACAGCTGATTAAGTGGGGTGACAGCAATTATGCATCTGCAATGGTGACCTCCACCTCAACACCAGGCTCAATGCTGATGCTGGTGATCTGCTTGACGATCTCAGATGGACTGTGAAGATCAATGAGGCGCTTGTGAATCCGCATCTGGAATCTGTCCCAGGTCTTGGAACCTTCACCACATGGCGTCTTGCGAGTAGTGATACGAAGAGTCTTATTGACAGGGAGAGAGAATAAGAAAAAATAACCAAATTTAGAATGACAGCCTGATAAGCGTCTTAAAAACTGGGACCACCTCTTGGCAAACATCTGTCTGTGAATGATACGAGTATTTAATTGATGTCCTTTGAAACTTCCATTAGCTTAGATATGAGATCAAGACAAAAATCAAAACTGGTACTCACCTTGGTGGGCATACGCACAGGACCCTTCACCTTCAGACTCTTCTCCTTGGCACCTCGGATCAAATCGGCACACACTATATAGAGA